CTTCCATGAACTTGTCAAACAACTTCTTTTCATATGGGAAGGTGCAAAACTGGACTACCTGTCGCGCTTTATGCGCTGTACTTGCCACGTAGCTGTTGAGTTTGCAGAATGATGCACTGTTGACGGACTACATGGAAACGGAGATCAGCTTTGTATGATAAATGCATAAAAATGGGTGATATATAGGCCCACTGTTGAAATGCTTTTGAGTTTTAATTTTGTCCTCGGAAACGTTCTTCTCCCTTGAGGGTATAATACAACCGCGTGCATTCTTTCCTGTTGCGGAATTGACACCAAGATGTCCACTTTTGTATGAAATGCATCACTCACTGCATAGCCAGTTTAAGTACCAAAAACTGTGGCAGCGTCTTACAGATTTTCACTGTGATTGAGCCTGTGTTCAGTCTTGTCAGTTCGCATCCAAGTTAGCTGTTCCATTAGTCACTGTCGGTGGGAATTATTCTATTTGAACGTGAGTCCGATAACACTGAAGATTTGTTAGCTTCCGACTCAAATGCTCCCTTATTGACTGGAGATATCCAAGCGAAGGACTTTCATGTCGCATTAATCGTAGTTTTGCTTTGCCAATACTCTGTATTTTGTTCTATACTGAACAAGTAGCACCATTCTTTGTTTTTCACTCGCGTGACTGCCAACAAAGCATGCTGGTTGAAGCTCTGAAGAAAATCTCACTGCTTCCTAGTGCTGGCTCACTACACTACTACGCCTTAGCTTTGTTTTCTTTTTCTTTTTGGTGTTTGCAGGCCTCTTAAGGAGTATAAGATGTTGAACTGAATTCCGATCGGAAGTTTTGAGTGACGTTGGTTAGTGCTTGAATTCGTCGACTAAACCGTCGGTGTTTGAATATTTGCTAAGTTCAAGCATTCTTAGGATTTATTAGAGCGGGATAATATCCCTGAAACCGTGAAACTTGTTATTTATGTTAAAGCAGGTACCGCTTCTTATTGACTGTTGCATCTCATATGATTGAAGGGTGTCACTGATTATTTGTTTAGTTTATCAGATCAGTCTGATTCGTTGTATCTCTGGCAGAAAATTCACTGAAAACAGTGGCTGCATGCTTTATATATTCGGACCGTTTGTTACCCTAAGGATTATACGTATGCCTTAGAAAAGCAGAAGACGATGTTGTAATGGACCAGTTTTCTCTGACTTTTCGCTTTGTTAAGGTATTCGTGAACATGGACCTCATACAAAATGTATCTGTCCTATTTGTTGTTCATGAATCGTTACCACTGATCATATGAATGATTTTGTGACATTTTCGTTTATTTAGATAGTGTAAAAAAGTCTTGCTCTATCAGTAATTTACCAGTAGAAGAAAGAAATGGCGATCGGATTCTGAATTCTTCCTCATCTGGTAGACATTTGGTCAGTCGTTCGAGAGACTCTGGACTTTGCGATATGCACACGTGCAGAGACGAAAAGCTAGAGCTACATGAAAGCGCAAAAACTCTTTCTGAATGTGACTGCTCTGTCGACCAGCTAGCGAAGAAATGCCGAGTTATGAGTGCGGCATCACCAGTGATGAACGCAGAATCGAAAGCGGCAGCTGCAAGTACGGATTCTGACAAGAAAGCACATACAGAATCATCCGATTCACTGTATGAATCCTTAGAAAGCGCGTGCAGCAGTGATTCTCTTACCCACAGTATTTCTGCCGCCAATAGTTCTTCAGACGGTGCAAACTGCAGCCCTGTGGAAGACGACGTGACGGTCAGGTATCAGTAATTAAAACATTTATTTTATGTGATTAATTCGAGCCAGTTTACTCTAAAGTAATAAGCACCAGTAATAGTGAAACACAGAAGACATTCATGATGGCTTTAAACTATGTTCATTGCCATTGCGTTTACTACTTTACAAGATTAACAGAGGTTTAGTCGAAATGATTTTCGCATTCCATGTTTAAAATTAAGGGTGCTTTACAGCTGTAATGACTTAATTCATCGTGATCATCAGCTTTTGTCGATCCATTGCGGGATGAAGGCCTCTTGAAGATCCCCTATTGGCTTCTGTTTTATGTCGTTTCCAACCTTCTTGATCAAGCGGACTTCTTCAGCTTATTTTGTCATCGATCTAAAGGTCTTTCAACCAGCCGTTTACCTTTGTTTCGAACCCAGTCGAATGTCTCTCTGGTCCAGCAATGGTCGGTTGTTCTTGTACGATGTCCTGTCCATTGTTAGTTTAACTTCTTCATTCATACAACTGCATTGCAGGCTCTTGTTTGTGCTCCTATCGATTCAGTCGTTTTACTGTCTTTTCTTGTTATTCCCGACATACGTCTTTCATTGCCGCGTTTCTTAGTCTGCAATCGGTGAATAGTTTTCAAGTTTAAGGTCTTCGCCTCCATCCATAAGTTAGCACTGGGAGCACCCACTGTTCGGATACTTTCCTTTTTTCTCAGTAGGAACATTTTCAGTCCTCTAAAAGTTCTCCTTGCATTTTTATTCTTCTGTTGATTTCACGTTGTCAGTTCTCCGAGCAGAGATAGACTTAGGCTTGAAGTAGTGCAAAACAGCGACTATGCTATGCACTAATTAAAACACTGTTAATTTGATAGTATTTCGATTTACTCTGCAAGCGATGGTTAGATCGTAAATTAGGTGCAGCAGACTATTAATTAATGATTCCTGCAAGATCAGATTTCACAGCGTGCTTTACTGCCCCCTTTCTCAAAGTTTTCTAGGTGGGTCATTTAAGCAGGCTACGACTCCATGGTATTTGAGCACAAGCAGTGCTCTATGTATGTCGCTTCATTTTATCAGCTGGACCTACCTCGCGCTCAACACAAACAATGTTTCAAGAGTTGGTACTCCTTACGTGCCACTGCATGGCACGTGCAGTACCGTAAACTCTGGTCTTGGAGGAGCCCATTCGCTATTTGACAACTGATTGTGTTTATGTCAGAACTTACTGATGTCGCGACGTGTTTTTATTAATTTAATGACTAACCGGATTCGACAGTGAATGTCTTTTGCGTGCCACAGTTTATGAATCTGTATATTGCTTCATTTTAAAATGTACTTTACTCTGCCTTCTTCAGAATCCGTCTGTTTGATGACGGTCTGCTACCTAAGCTCTAAAAATACAATTGTAAGTATTTCCGGTTCATGATTGAAGTATACTGGGTTAAGTTTCCTTGTCTTTCTCCACAGATAGTATTTCGTGAACGGAATAACTTGTTGCCAGCCGCTGTTTGATCCGCACGAGACCATTCATTGCCTGCAGTGCCTTTGCACTTTGATGTCCTTTCTGCGTCGCCATATGGTGATATATACGGCTTCTCAGTGTTCATCCATTACGGTCATAAGGATCTTCGTAGAGGTCAGTAAATCATCTCAGAAGGTGGTAATGATGTTATCACGATATGGATGTTCAATTTCGCATGCCTCTTTAATTAAGCCTTTTTGGTTGATCGTTTGCGGTTCTTGATGAGCTTTTATGACTACTTCAACAGCTGAATGAAATACGGTTTGTCATATAATTTTCTACTGCGACGTCACTGAAAAGTTGGATATTAATCAGAGATGCTTCATTGTTGGAAATGCGCGGCTACAAGTACTTAAATGATGATAAATCAAATGGGTTGATTTAAAATGAATTGTTACTATTCTTGCCAAAAAGCGATATCTTGTTTTATGGTTACTTTATGATTTAAGAAGGCGAAATTTTGCATTGCATCGAGAGCGAAACCCGGCATTTTGTTCACCAGTGGGAAACTATTTCCCCTGCAAATACCAAACTCGGAAGACCGCCGTGAAAAGCACTTCCTTGGAATCGGCGAAAGAACGGATTGATCGGCTCACTGGTGGTCTTCGCGACGTTTCGTCCGGACTTAGAACAGCTGTTCGAGTGTCTGATTCGTACTTTACTGTGAAATCGCTGCTTCCTGCTGATGCGGACCCTCCTCATTGTGTCATGAGAATTCCTTCAAATCAGCAGCGCACCGGCTCTCTGACTGAAAGTAGGCGTTATTTACAGGACAGTACACGATACTTTCAAAGTGGCGTGATTCGAATAATTCCGACTTCATCTACGGTAACCTCATCGGCTGCGGTTTACGCAAAAAGCTTCAATGTTTTGTTGAGGTAGGAAATAGTTTTGTTTTTTGTTCATCTTGTTTCAAGTCAACGTATATAGGTCAGATTTTGCGCCGTCGGCTGATTCTGCGCGTAGACCTTATCGAACTACCCATTCCGGATTTACGATTCCTTTGAAAACGGTCGAGAAATGCTTGTCGTTGCAGAAGCTACCATTTGATTCAGAAATTGTACGAACGAATCCGCAGCACCTTGATTCTAATTGGCTTCGTAATCCGTCCAGATAGAGCCATGCATGTACGTTAATCCTTTTGACTGGTGCGACTTCGAGTTGGCGGAAGATCACTGATGTCTGACGCCTTACTAATATTCAAGCTACTTGCTGCAGGAATATTCACCTCACCATCCTGAACTTTATATTTTGTCTGATAATTTTAACACCTTGTCTTTAAATGACTTGAAATTTGTCTGTCTGTTTTCATTTTTACATTTGAAATGATGTTTTATAATGTCGATGCATCACCGATCTAATAAGTGCCTTCTCCGCTTACCACGTTTCAACAGGTTTGAGCATGGTCCTGCGCAAAACGAATTCGTTACCTCTGAGAATTGTGTGGTATCCTTAACAGCGTAACAGTGAACGACGCTTGTCGCAGGAATAATAACTATGCGTGAGATGAAGAAAACTTGTTGATTTGTGTAGGAATAATAATCAGGAGTAAAATTTTCTTTCCGGTATTTGTTATGTGCAGTCTTCTGTGGAGGAATAATACTTAGCTGGCCAACTGCTTAAGCTTGTTACATGACAGATTCACGGAGAGTTCTAAATGACGAACACCAAAATATGACAAGTAAACCTGATAGTTATTCTTTACTACAAATACCTCAGCCACCTGGAAGCATAATGTATTAATGAAGCGTTACGAACTTGACTTGTTTGACAAATGTTTTCTTCAAACAAAAATTGATTATTACATCACACATTCTCAGCGGTAAAGCCTTAGCTCTGTAATTCGATTTTTCTACAGTTTTAAGCAGTGGTAGTTTCGGGCAATCTCTCCGTGGTTATATTTCCTTACGGCTTTCCATCAGTGCTCAAATTTTCTGCCGTACTAACAGCTATTTTCTGTCGCTGTTCGAAAACTAATGGGTTTACTGCGATACCAATGACAGGGTGGAAAGAGATAGTTATTACCGTTGCAGTACGGTATTCTAAAATATTCAAAGGGCTTATTTCATTTTACTGAATTCCTGATTAGATCTAGATTAGTTTTTGTTTATCGCGTATATTCAAAATTCTATTGGTATCGCACAAAGCAGTCGAGAAAAATTCGTCGAAGCCCCTATCGTTGACTGTTCTAAAGGTTTCAGCTCCATACTTCGAGATATTTTTATGAAGCTGACTGTTCTATTTATTAATCAGTTTCATTCGTTTTAACCAATTGTCTTTCCTATGGACGTCATTCTGTTGCGATAGATCGCAGTCCTTATATCCTAAAAGTTTTCGAGTCAGTTTTGGCTCCATCCTTTATTTGCAGATATTTTTTTGTACTGCTGTTAAACTGTACTGGCGTTTATTTAAGATTGGCTGATGGTGTGACTTAACAAATGGCAATAAAATCTTATTGACTTGCAGAAGAATATCGTCCGTTTTTCTACTTAAATGGAATTTTTCACAGTCCAGGCTACACTGCTTTACCCTACTATCAGACGAAAGATACCGAATCTGTGATTCGCTTATGCAATTTGGAACTGAAATCCACGAAGATGCTTTAAAATGCTTAGTTATTATATGCACTTGTAACTCGCTTAACTGACCAGTTCGTTTGATGCAACAATATGGAAGTCTGGTTTCTGCCAATGAATTTTGTTACCTTGAGTTTTACCCATGTATAGCGAACTTTGCGTCAGTGCTCTTTTATTTTTTATTTACGCCGGCCACAAATTTCTCCCTCTTCGAATACGCGGCTTCCTATTGATAGAGAATCAAGGTTTCATAGAATAAGATTTGGTTTTAGTGCTACCAAAAGAAGTTTAGCTTTAGTTTAACGAGTTTACAGTTTAGCATCTCGTGAAAAGTTCCTTTGCGCACTATGTAGTGCAATAAATGGCATCTTTACAACTTGGAATGCAATACCGCATTTTCGTCGGCATTGATATTGTCAGCATTTAATCTCAGCTGCATAGAGCCATATGTATACATTTAGTTGCGTTTGCTTTAACACTGAGAATCTAGGAATTTCATGCTTCATGAGTCTTTACATCAGTGCTCCCATGTAAATTTCTATTCTGCGATGTTTTTACACGCTGATTATGCCTCATGATCTTGCTAAGAAACAGGCTGAAACATTTTGATTGGCACGCTGTAGCAACAAGATTTGTCTTGTTACATCTTCGTCTTCCATCGCCCCTTCTCCTTTCGGGTCGAGGAGGCACACACGTCAGACAGAGCTTCCAATGTTCCCGATCCTGTACCAGAGTCTGAGCTTCGGCAAAAGACTAATGCAGTCTAGAACAGACTCCTTCCATATGATTGCACCAGGCTAATCTTGGCCGCCCTGGGCCTTTTGCCGGTCGGATTCGCAAGGAATC